TGAGTTTGTATTGAATACTGTATGAAACCTATGAAACCCATAATAACTGGATTGTGTGCGTATAGAGGGCTATAGCAGTGCATTGTATGCATTGTTGGCAACAGTGATGTAAACAGTGGACAATACATGCAATACATTCACTGCACTAATCAGTGAAACATTACTTTTAATTGTGTTTTCAATTCATTAATCACACAAATAATGACAAAATTAAGTGAATGGCTGTGTGTGGCACTCATATTCGTGTCCGTGTGGCTACCGGTGCTCTTAGGACTCACACCCATACCAGTGACCGATGCGAGACAGACACCTCCCGATGGTTTCATGGCCAATAAGGCCTGGCAGGTATTGGTTGACTACTATAAGAGTAAATCGTAATGTTTGTGAACATTAATTAACAAATTTAAAAGTATTAACTTATTTTAACAAATCTAGCGGTAAATAAAGTAGAAAATGTAGCATTAAAACATTTTCTCTTCATAATATCTGTTTAATAATCTTTGTAAACAAAATTAATATTTAATATTTTAATGTTTTTTATTAACAAAATATAAAACTGTTTATTAACCTAAATTAGTGACATAAACATTATAAAACACAATCATACTGAAGGTTTAGTAAATAAAAAAATAAAAAACAAAAAATATGTCAAACAATGAGAGAAAAATTCATTTGAACATAACTTTAAGTAAAGTAGTTTACAGTAACAGTAAAGTAAAAACCAATTGATAAGTAGTTAACGACTGATTAGACCGATACTATTAACACGCTTTGAATGATATATCGTCGGAGTGGTTGATAATGGGCGGGGAGTACATAGTGGTCACCCCTCCCGAGCAGTCCGACTCGCATTTGCCGCCACTTATTCTGAGTATAGAGTAGACTGGAGTGGACTGAGCCAGGCCCTTCTGGGACAGACACCCATTTTGGTCATCGGCCACCGAGAATGTCAGTTCATCCAAATGTCCGCCAGCACAGGGACCCGACTGTATCATACCGTTCAACATAAATATAGCATTTCCTATGGGGTCGACAGAAACACACAATTAGTTACAGATATTAATATGTAAAACAAAAGTGCAAAACATTTAATATTAATTATAAAATGGTTAAACTTGAACGCCAAACGTACCGTTCAATGTAACCGTATAGGTATTAAGTTGGACAGTGATCTCAATGGTCTTATTATCCTTTTTGGAGGTGTAGGTGCTATTCTTGCTGACATACGAGAAGGCATTACATGATACGGAGTCCGATTCATATGTGGCGGTTGACTGCAATTGTGTGATCTTAGACTCGGCGCTGCACTCGTAGTATCGAAATTGGGTTACATTTGCTTTGACTCCAGGCGTGAGAACTTTGAGTAAAAATAAATTTTTTAAAACAAATTATTTTTAAAATANTCATATGTGGCGGTTGACTGCAATTGTGTGATCTTAGACTCGGCGCTGCACTCGTAGTATCGAAATTGGGTTACATTTGCTTTGACTCCAGGCGTGAGAACTTTGAGTAAAAATAAATTTTTTAAAACAAATTATTTTTAAAATAGTTGTTAATCGAAATTTAATTGATTTCCTGACTTATTGATCTACAAAATACTTTTAAACAATTAAGAAACATGTAAGCGGATTGTATAGTGAATACGCTACTAATCTAGAAATTAATTAGAAATAAACCCAGGGTATAATTGTAATCTTAAAAGGAAATACTTGGAAATTTCTAACTAAATACTTATGACAACTTTTCAAATGTTTTAACTTGTATACATTAAGTTGAAGCTATAACGTATTATAAAATTTCTAAATATTTTACTAACTCCTAAATTATATTATTTTCACAATAAAAGTTACTAAAGAAGTTCACTTTTATATAAAGATAACATAAGTTTTAATATTTTTAAAAATACAATATATGGATAAGATAATAATATTATTTAGATTAAAAAACTAATCATCACATTCAAAACATCAGTATTGTACAAAGCATCTATAAATATTTATCAGAATAATATCATATGTGGCGGTTGACTGCAATTGTGTGATCTTAGACTCGGCGCTGCACTCGTAGTATCGAAATTGGGTTACATTTGCTTTGACTCCAGGCGTGAGAACTTTGAGTAAAAATAAATTTTTTAAAAGAAATTACTTTTAAAATAGTTGTTAATCGAAATTTAATTGATTTCCTGACTTATTGATCTACAAAATACTTTTAAACAATTAAGAAACATGTAAGCGGATTGTATAATGAATACGCTACTAATCTAGAAATTAATTAGAAATAAACCCAGGGTATAATTGTAATCTTAAAAGGAAATACTTGTACATTTTTAACTAAATACTTATGACAACTTTCCAAATGTTTTAACTTGTATACATTAAGTTGTAGCTATAACTTATTATAAAATTTCTAAATATTTGACTAACTCCTAAATTAAATTATTTGTACAATAAAAGTTACTAAAGAAGTTCACTTTTATATAAAGATAACATAAATTTTAATATTTTTAAAAATACAATATATGGATAAGATAATAATATTATTTAGATTAAAAAACTTATCATCACGTTCAAAACATCAGTATTGTACAAAGCATCTATAAATATTTATCAGAATAATATAATCTTGACATTAATTATAGTTTTCTACTATATTTTAATTAATTTTCAGAAACTACTAAAATCAAAATTTATAAAAAAAATAAATTAAGAAAAATGAAAAGTTTTATATTCTGCGAGAATATTTCTTACATTGAATTTCATACGATACTTACATAAATGTTCATTAGCACTTGCTATGTAAAAAGTGAGTGAGAAAACAAAACAAACATATAAAGCATTCATTTTTAGCAAAAATAAATGACAACAACTTTTCTATACGATCACAAAGTAAGTTATATAATTTAAGGCACTTTGTTAAGTGTAGAAACTGAAAGTTTTGAAACAATTATAGCAATCGAGACTCAATGGTGAGACGATATCTGTGGAAATGGTTCACTCGAATCCAATGCAAAACTTTTTATACAAGCATTACAACTGAATCTGAAAACTCTTGGTGTGAATGAAGGTTAAGACTGTATTAAAATACTTTTTCCAAACAGATTGATATCAGCTTTCTTTAGATAATACATTAGATATGCATGGCTTGGGGGCAACCGTTACAACGGACCACCTCTTCCTTGTACTACAGCTGTATTTGAGTGAAAAATTAAAAAACTAAATCATTTCTAATTCATATTCCGATATCTCAGACATGTGTTGAACTGTTTTCTAGTTTTTCTTTGATTTTTTAATTTTTTTCAGAAAATATTAATAAATTTATATATTCTTTATATTCCATACCAGTGCTCAACGCTCTCCTAATTTAGATCAAGGCTTACATCCCTCGAAACGAGTGGTTTGTATTGAACGAGAAAATGATTCACAACTTTCACGACAATATTTCGGATTAAATTATGTAAAATACTTAATAATATGAGGTTTAGTCTTGGAGACCAATCACGAGCTAAGCCGGCGCCCAATTAGCAAAAATAAAGTCCTAGAAGAGATTTGAGTTTTTCAAACATGTTTTTATCTTTTTTATTAATACATTTCCAAATATATACAATGCTTATGAAGTTGTTGTCATACATTTCCAAGTAATCCATGTTTGGATTGAAAAACTTTTAGCTAAATTACATAAACAGCAATGGATTTGAGAAATGGATTGCAATTTATTTATCAGTTGTCATGTTATGTTAAAAATATTGTTTTTCTGTATATTAAACGTATCGCCAGTTATTTAATGTTGTTTTCGATACAAATGGTTGAGAAAAATCTGTGAAAAACTTTGTTTGATAGCTAGAGTCAGTAATAGTAAGCAATAAATAGTTACAAAAATGAAAACTTCAAATTTATTATGATTTTTGAAAAATGATTTTTCGTGAAGCAGTTTATATTCATTCGAGAATTAATGCAATTCCCTGATAAATTGTATATCATTTATAATGTCTGTAAAATATAAAACATTGAAAACTATTGCACAGAATTTTATATTTATTGCACAATACTTCGTATAATAGTGAATATTATAGAAAATCCATTCAAATGCAAATACAGAGTACAGTATAGTGTAAACACTGTAGTGTATAACGATTGTAAAGTATAACAAAATTCATTTTCATATTTTTTAGAAAAAAATATTTTGGTTCTATTTATATAATAGTATAATAAAAACAATTAATAATTAATAGGACATTGATAAGAGAGGGAGAGTTCAGTAAAGTTTTAAATAATACTTTGCAATTATCTGGCAACATAATTAATATGTTATCTAATAGTTTATCAACGCTTAAAAGTCGATATACTTTATATTACTAGTCGTACCTTAAAATGAACGCTATACCTTATTAAACAATAATAGAGGTAATGACTTATGCAAACTGATCCAGTTCTCTGAGCAAAAAAACTAAAAACTGATTACTATTAAAAATTTAAATGTCCCAAAATAGCAGCTGTGGTATAATAGTTCACTTCACGAAAAATACCTTTTTTTTCCTATCGACACAATTATTTGCATTATATTCCCCCAAAAAACATAAGCAAATAATTTGTATGTATTTTCGGGTTCGCAAACGATTTTAACGATGAATTATAACATCTTAAAGCTTTTGGTCATTATTTTGGCACTAATTTGTTGCGAAACTAATGCCGCGAACCCGACGCCCAACGGCCAGCCCCTCGAAGTGGCTATAAGTAAGTGAGCCATTGGTCGCCACTTTCAATAAAATGTTATATTTTGTGCACTAATTATCAGGTGTTTTAAGCGGTACGACAACCAACACGTCAGTGACCGCCGACTTTAAATGCCACCCGACGGCCGGCATATTTGTCAAAGAGATTACCGGAAAGTTTAATTTAAGTCAAACATTCATCCCATGCACTGGCCTTAAGAGTTTGATCCAGAGGTATATTTTCAATCTGACGCTAACCGGTGGTAAACGACAGTCAATAACCGTTAAAGACTTGAAAACGGTATCGCTTTATGTAAACGGTATGGAAATACTGACAACATTTTGAATACATTTTATCCTATGTTTTGTATATTTATGATGAAATAGGCGAACAAATAGCCACTCAAAGTGGACCGATTGAGGGAGGGACAGTATGCAAATCGGGGAAAGTAGTGCTCACACATTGGTTTAGGAGCCGAGAGCCCATGTCCTGTTCCACACTGAAAGGCCTGACCCATATAGAGTCGCCCACCTCTACGCTGAGAATAACTGGAGGCAATTGCGAGGTGTTCTGCACCGGGAGATTCATACTGGACTACAAGCCTGGCTTAAGGAACTCACGGGTGCCAGGATTGGGATTAACCGCCAGACCCGCCAAACCCATGACAATTAGACCATTCAAACCCATTCCGGGAATGGGCTGATATTAATCATAATTAAATGTACAGTGTTTGGAGTCCAATATATTTTCTAAAAATAAATTCATAGCTAATCTCAACAAATTCACTATTTGAACAATTGATAAACTATTTATCTAATTAATCGGTACAGTATAACAAAAAAACTAGCTTTTAATAGCCTAGAATTTAAAAATTAACAATTGTAAGTTGACATAATTAAGAGGTAGCGTATTACGGTAGTTAATTATTATAGTATTTGCTAAATAATTTGTGGCACTCATCGAGTTTGAGGCCAACACCAAAATTAGTGATGTTTTTGGGATAACTCGAGAATTCATAATAGGGAGCAATGGTGGTGCCGTCGATGTCATAATAATGAGGCCACTCTACACCTTCCTGTGCCAGTGGACGGCTATATTAAACATGAAAATATAATTTGATTAAACATTTACAAATAATTATATTTAAATATTTAATTACAAGAACTCACTTATATTTAGCAAAATATGCGATTGTTTTCATAAAATTCATCGAAACATCTCTTTGCAAATCAGAACTCTTTGTCGATCTGAATGGATAACCAAGAGCTGGTCCCACATCTGATCCATGACAAGCACCGGCCCACTCATCGCAACTCCTACCTTTGCTCGTCCAATAATATCCATAGACTTTGTTATGCTTTGGATCCGCTCTATAGATAATATCTGCGAACTTAAGAGCAGGACATGTGATGAAGAAGTCGCCCACAGCTATGCCCACAGTCTTCATAAACACATCGGGATTAGTGTCCGGGATTTTATTCATATAAAACTTGGCCACAGATTGGCCATCAATTTTGGGATCAACTTTAAGACCATTAAATATTGACTCCAATTCCTCGATGGCTTCGGTTTTTGTCAAATGAGTCAACGCCTTGTTCTCATTGATCTTATTCCAGATCCATGAGCCCTCGTCCTCAGTGGTGCCCAACAAGAGATTAATCTTCTTTTTGGTCTCTTTGTGGTCAACCATATCGAGCGGACCCTCTCTCATGAATGGGTCGCCGAAGATATAGTTGGGAAAGAAAGCGAAGTTCGAGTCGAGCACTTCGGCCGAGTGTTGGGCCGACACTAACTTCTCGTGGGGAACACCTCTCAGACATGTCATCACATCGTCGGTAAAACCAGTGTCGCCGGCACTACATCCGACATGTTTGGCTAATTTAAGGTAAATATTGTGGACATAAGACTTGTCTGAGTTGGTCAGCAACGACAGGGCTGAGCCGGACATCATAATCGCGTTTCGGAACAGTTGTCGCGAGTGTTCACTCAATAGGTGTAAACTTATTGAACGACTGCCGGCACTGAACCCGAAAAGTGTGATCTGCTGTTGATTACCGCCGAAGTATCGGATATTGTCGTTAACCCACTCCAGAGCCAGCACTTGATCCCAGAGACCCATATTTCCGGGCGCGTCATCCCTGTCCCCATACAAGAAGCCGAGCGCTCCTAACCTGTAGTTTAGGGTAACGACCACTACATCGCCGGCGACCGCCAATACCTCACCGTTATGTCCGGACCCGTACTGAAAGCCTCCGCCATGAAACCACACCATCACCGGCTTGGATGCGCTCAAGTCAGTCGTCCATACATTGAGTTTAAGACAGTCTTCACTCTGTGGGACATTAGTATCAATCTGTGGACAGGCTTTGGGCCACTCATTGGACTCAAACACGCCATTCCTCGTCACAGGCAATGGTTTCTTAAACCGTAACTCTTGTAGCGGCGGTTCCGCGTATGGGATACCAGTGAATACGTGGACAGTCTTATCTAAAACCACTTTCTCGGACCCGATGTACTCATTATCACCGATTTGGACACTACTCCTGTCATCGGATTTAGCCCCGCATTGACTCGCATTTAAAACAATTACAGAAAATATGAAAACCAAACTTATATTCAAGTCAAACATTTTAGAGCCAAATGTTTATTTAAGTAAAAAATTTGTCCAAAACTTTAAAAACACTTTAGAAACCAGTTTTCCTTTTATATGCAAAAACTTTTCCCATTATTTACATTAAAAAACTAATTGTAAACACTTTTTCGGGTAAATTCCTGACAAAAAGTTCACATTAACTGCAAAAATAGTGAGAAAATCAATGTATAGTTAACAGTAGACTAAACTAACTAAATGTCTAATCATTAGCACTAATGTCTAGTCGTATAAACAAATTGTTTTTATCAAAAATCCCAAATACAAGGCCAGGGAGGACAGGGAGACAAACACTCAAATTAC